GTGTGTGTGTGTGTGCGTGTGTGTGTGTGTGTGTGTGTGCGTGTGTGTGTGTGTGTGTGGACCGAAAAGATAGTTTGTGTACAGTGTACACCCCTGACCCCCACAACACCCAAGGCCTTCCTCCCACCCCAAGGAGGCCTCGTTGAGCGCTTGCCAAGAGAGCACTCATTGCGTTCATCCGTGCTCATTGAGCACGCGTTTTTTTAGCACCGACCCGACACTCAATGAAGGCATAGCTACTTACTCGTGTAAAGGGCCTCAAAGGGCCTGGAGTGGCAAAAAGGGGCAGACCTTTGCTCATTGTTAACGTGTTTTGCTTACCTTCACAACTCGTCATCAAGGGTTTGAGAATTGATACGCAAAAGCACTTTGACAGTGCACTCTTCTTCAGGAGGCACACGACGCCCTCATAACCCAACACCAACATGTGTCACAAACCCAAATCCTTATCCTGCAACATTGATTTTTAAAGTGGGGGTTCCACGTACCAAGGACAACTATGGAAGAGTATGGGAGGACAATTTCATGAGACCTGAAACGGTTCATTGAAACAAAGTCATCACCACTGAAATCATAGGTCTTGGGAGGGTTGTAGAGATGAACTGGTTGGTGCACAATAACGCACTCCTCACGTCCGCGTCGCAGTAGATGGCATCCTCATCTGCTCCTATGGCAGACCGAGAGAAAGCTTGAGCACAAGCATGTTCTCATGCAAGACTAAGGGCTGCAAAGGACGAATCCATACAAGTGGAATGTATCTGTCGGCGCAACGACCGAACCCAGAAATACATAAATCGTCTTTGCAAAAATAAAGTGTGGATAGTCAATGCACAACCTTAATATTGCAACCAAACACACACACACACACACATATTGTTTGCATTTCATACACTCATAAAGGCATTGCAGATAGATGTTCCGACACTTGCAATCAAGGTCATGCACCAGACAAAAACAAATTACATCCACTGACTTGAACAACTAACACAACTTTAAGCAGCAATGGACAAAAGAGAGTCTCCCAATATATCTAAAAAAAAATCGTTCATCTCACACGATACTCGCCACAATCAATCTTGCACAAATCAATACCTTTTGGAGGCAAATAGCTCCAACTTCTACGGTAGGCGCCAGACTTGAATGAAAGAAAGAAAAGAAAAAGAACTTAAAAAAACATTACTTCTGACACAATAAACAAAATCATACCATATCGAAGCTCCACTTGAACCACTGATGTATGATATCCTTTGTAGGTGGACACTACGATTGTCCACGCATGCACATATTCACACATCCACCTCCACCACTGCTTGGTCCCTTCTCCAATCCACCAAACCTACCGTGAGAAGCTCACCCCACACTCTCACTTTTCCAAGTCCATTAGGCACGACAACCCTTTGCAACATTGCATCTGCAAGCCCAAAGATGGACCCTGCATCTGCCTAGATGATCAACGAGGAGAAAGTGATCGTCGTGAACAAATCCTCAAAATGGGGTTTTGTACCGCGGGTACATTACGGCGGCGGGTTGAGATACCCCTCCCCCACCAATCAACAAATCAACCAATCAATCAATCAATCACTTAATCAATCAATCATTCAAAAAATGACAACAACAACAACACCACCACCGAATTTTTAACCTGTGTGTGTATTATTTTAAAAGACCCCATATTCTCTCTCTTATTCACTACAGAACTCATCACAAGCCATCCATAACGAGAAAATTTAGATAAGCAATATAATATAAAATACAAGGTTGACTACATTTGTGTGGTTCATCACCAAGTGTTCACACACCCGTCTGCCACCAAAGCGGCACACTTGCACATATACATATGTTACGTATACGTATACATTTCAAACTATAAGGGGATGGAGAGCAGAAAACAACTTACCTAAGACGGAAAACTACTCTAGCAAAAAGACACCGACCTGACTCCCTCAAAGGTCTGAAAAAACTTGGAGACTTTTCCTCATCAGCCCACAAAACCAAAAATCCATTTACCAAAATCAAACAAATATAATAAGAGTGGCATTCCCGATATTCATCTATAACTATACACTCGTGTCGCGGCCAAAAAGTGAGTCAAGGTTAATGGGTTTGCTAATATTCCACATTTACACTATGAACGTTCATTGTTCGTACACAATCGGACATACACACTCGGACGGAGGAGGCTTCAAAATCTTGAGCATTGTCACCATTTCAAAATTTTCAAAATCTTTAACATTCCTACATACTCGGATAAAGAGGGGTGTACTTTAGAATTTTTTGTTTCTTACCGCTTTAGAATTTTTAAAAATTTTAATATTTCTCCACACTCGTACACTGCGACGAACGCTTAAACATTATAAAAATTATAATATGGTGATATAAAGTGGTGAAAACATTGAAGATTTTGAACCCCCTCCCCCCCCCCCCCCCAACAGAAGAAGGTGAGAAGAAGGGGTGGTTCAAAATATTCAAGATTTTCACAACTTCAAAATTTTCAAAATCTTCAATATTCCTACACACTCAGACAAAGGGGGATGTAATTCAAAATTTTAGGCATCTAAACTACTTTAAAATCTTCAAAATCTTCAGTGTTTCTACACAACTCTAAAAGGAGGATAAACGCTGAAGATTCTGAAAATTTTGAAGTGGTAAAAACGCTAAAGATTCTGATCTCCCCCCTTAAAGAAACAAAACAGAGGGAGGCGGGAAGAAGGAGGCGTTCAAAATCAGTATCGTTTTCATCACTTTAAAATTTTCAGAATCTTCACTGATCCTACACACTCAGACAAAGGGGGCTGTGGTTCAAAATTTTCAGCATCTACACCACTTCAGAATCTTCAAAATCTTTAGCGGTTTTACACACTCTGATAGGAGGATGAACGCTGAAGATTCTGAAAATTCTGAAGTGGTAAAAACGCTAAAGATTCTGAACCCCCCCTTTAAGGAAACAAAACAGCAGGAGGCGAGAGGCAGGAGGTTAAACATAAGAAAACAGAGAAAAATAAAGCAATCCTACATCTCCATTAAGGATTTCTTGGCCGACAACAGGCTATACTACCTGAGCACTAGGTTTAATGTGGATAGGATCGCTTAACCAAGCTTCATAATTTGAAAAACAAGCTCGGGAGGCGAAAGCCTAAAGGCGAGAGGGGGGAATGGTTCATAATCTGTAACGTTTTCATCATTTTAAAATTTTCAAAATCTTCACCGTTCCTACACACTCAGATAAAGGGGTGTACTTCCAAAATTTCAGCATCTTCACCAGCTCAGAATCTTCAGAATGTTCAACGTTTCTTTACTCAGAGAGGGGGGCAAACCCTAAACAATTCGAAGATTTATTCAACCTAGGGGCATTCGTTATTTTCAGCACTTTTGAAATCGTTGAAACATGACTTCATAGAACTTCAAAAATAGTAAAATACTGAAAGATCTTCACTTCAAAATTAATTCCAGTGTGTTGACCACGTGTGCAAAGCGGAAGAAGATAAAAAACAACTTACTCAAGACAGGAGACTCCTCTAAGAAGAACGTACAGACCCATCCTCTGCTAAGGGCTCAAAAAAACCGGGAAAGCCTTCCATGCAGGCGCACAAAATATGCGTACCCCCCAAAGAGAACTTGTGGTTACCCGTAAACATCCACATAGCCCATGCTCTGAAGCAGGGCAAAAAATTAGGCCGTGTATGATCAACAAAACCAACAAGATATGTGTGTGTGTGTGTGTGTGTGTGTGTGTTTGTGTGTACGTGTGTGTGTTGTGTGTGAGTGTGTGTATGTGTGTACGCGCGTGTGTATGTGTGTGTGTGTGTGTGTGTGTGTGTGTGTGCGTGTGTGTGTGTGTGTGTGCCGGGGGGGGGGGGGGGGGGACCCCTCCCCCACCAATCAATCAATCAATCAAGCAAGCAAGCAAGCAAAAAGTTAACCAATCAATTAATCAGACATACAAAACCAATCATTCAATCAATCAATCAATCAATCAATCAATCAATCAAGATTTATTTTATTGCTTTTAATTATTTTTCACCCACCACCACCCCCCGCCGCCCCCCCCAAAATTGTTTTTTTTGACTTTGTTTTGCTCTAAAGGTTAGGGTCGGGCTTCTGGAACCCCAATCCGCAACCAAGGGCTGGGGGGATATCCATGTTTCTCTGGCTGGACAACATTCCCGGAAAACAAAAAATTGGCCAAATTTAATGGCAGTTTTCCGAATCATCTTGAAGTTCATATACGTTATGCTTCCGAAAGTGTTGAACAAAATCAACAATCAATCATGACCATTGCAGGTGCGGCAGCCCTGCTACATCATACATAATGATTGAAATTATGCTCATAAGCAGTAATGAACTGCAAGAATATAGAAGGGTTTATAGTACAGGCTGTCACAGCCAAGTGATGACATCACCACAGGTTCAAAATCCGAAGGGATGATAATCCAATTGCTCTTCGATTGAAGAGCTGCAACATTGTCGCATACATGCAATACTAGATTCTAGGCCATGTATCCTCTTCGAAGTACACTCGAGGATATTCGTCACATACAGGCATGACTACATTCTGAGCCATGTAACCTTCGTCTAAGTCCCTTAAAATCATAGGCACTAAACCTCCTCTCCTCCACCTCTTCCTATTCCTCCTCCTGCTCTTTCCCTTCCGCATTGCAACATGATATCACCCATTCACTTCATGGTGACCGTATTCTGTGCTGATTCTCCTTGTAATCCTCCTACTCCCCCCCCTCCCCCCCTCCCCTCCCCCTCCTCCCCCTCCTCCTTGCCATACTCTTCCTCCTCCTCCTTCTCCTCCTCCGCTCCGCTGCCTCCTCCTCTTCCGAATTGCAGCTTGACGTCGCCCATTCGCTTCAAGTTGATCGTATTCCCTGCTGATTCCTTGACATGTGCACGATCTTCACAATGTGGCACAAGTACGGAAAATCACTGGCTATGAATCTGGATCCCAAGGTGGTACAGATTCGTAACACTGGTTATGAATATTATCTCCTAGGTGGTGCAAGGTCAAACGGCAGACATAGCACGTATTGAGGCCAACAGAGGACTAAAACCTGGTTTAAATGGGCAATAATTATGGATGACAGAAACTTTCAGGGAAATGAAATTAAAAATTACAACTTAAAAGCTAGCCATGGAGAATCATAGTGGTATATATATTAGCAAACAGAAAAGAAGAGATCAAGACAGTTCTGAAACACACACACACACACACACACACACACACACTCATAGGTACCCAGTACTACCCACCCCTCCTAAACTGAGCATCTACAGCTACATCAAATCGTCACCACAGGCAAGACCAGGATGCATGCAGGGAAACAGCTGGAGCACCACATCATGCACTTGGTACCATCTTGCACTGCCTGAGAATCCGAATTCAGAACGAGCAGTACGAATTCATACCGCCAAGGCAGGAGGGGCGCAGATGGGGAGCGGTGAGCACCAACCTCCACACAATAGCTTCCACGCACTAAAATGAGGGAGAACTTCAAACCAGCGGACGTCTGGGAGCAAAATAAGGACTCTGAGATCATCCCAGTAACAACTCGTCTAGAGACTTTTTTCTTTTTTTTAAGTCTAGAGACTTTCAAATTGGATGCAGATACAAGGGGGGGGGGGGGGGGGGGTAGGGAGAGAGAAGAGGCTGGGTTCGGAAATATCAGGTAGGTCAGCTGAGAGGACGCTGCACCCAGAAGAGAGAGAGAGAGAGAGAGAGAGAGAGAGAGAGAGAGAGAGAGAGAGAGAGAG